GCGGTTTATTTATCACGCGCATGCAAATATCCCTTGAAGAGCACCCCTCCGCCCTGAAGACTAGCTACATCGAAGTCCCACTGTTGTTGCACTCCAAGAAACATTGAATGTTTAATCTACTAGAGTTCCTGCCGATGGAGCGTTGATCCTTGTATTGACACGAGCTCACTACCAGTTCTTCATCGAGAGCACCTATCCTCCATGACTCATGACCGAGTCCATCCTCATGCCTCGTGAGGATGGACTTGGTCGTGTTGCTTAGGAGCAATACGTTTGCGGCTCGCGGTAGGATGCAGTGAGGGGCAACAGCCTGTAGCTCCTGAAAGTTCGAATGAAAAGTAGAGATTGAATCTGTCGCGGCGTTTGCATCTGCTAATTTACGACCGTATCTTTAGCCGAATACTGACAAAGAAATTAAAAAGCTTACGCCGATGAGTCAAGAATCTTGACTGATTCACACTGACTGGCCGATTGCTCATGCGGTGGCTGATCAGCATCAAAGAGGCAAACGTCTTTGTAGTAGCGTGGGGCTCGAGCACAATCCTTCCCAGTTAATCACTGACAGTAGCAACTCAGGTGCAATACAAGACTCGAAGTTACTGAGTGAGAATGAAGATGATAACAGCGTTGTTATATGGATCAAAGAGTTTGACCGAGAATGGACAACCGAGTTGTCACAACTCGCAAGTTTGCCATGAACAATGCAGCACGCGAGTACATTTCCCGACGGACTGTATGTCAAGGACAGCCTCAACATAAAGACTTCCCTAAAAGCGAGAATCATAACGCTGTTTCTTAAATAATCACGCCCCTATACGGTGGAATAGGCTCGTAACAAGCTCGAGCAAGGCTGGTAACATTAGGGATGGCACGCCTTGAGGACAATATCCGGAGGGGTAGGATGTGACGGGTCATAACCATATATCCATGGACCATGGTGTATTGTCAAAGTATCACGGAATAGATCCAAGGTCATGGCCTTTCCTGTCATCCACCAATCCTCTTGACCAACTTGTGTGCGATTGTCCATAAGAGAGAGTAAAACATCCAACCCTTTTTCCTCTCTTTTCAATACCAAAATATTGAAGGGATAGTTCACTGTGTCCGCTACCGATTGGAATTCTTTCACGGGGATGGCATCATTGTAGACGACCATGTGCGTAGCATCAGAGCGGAGGGCCACACTTAAGCCCTTGCCGTGAGCAAATTGGCAAAAATGATGATTCACAGGCTGAAGACACGCGCCATAGGTTAAGCGTATCTCAGGCTCACCGTTCATCACAATCTCTGATTGGCCGTGGCTGCGGGGTAAGTACAACATACGGGTCAAGGTCTTGACGCCCAGACCCATGGAGGTAACGAATCCCTTCAATTGATAGGTATCCGGTAGCCTCAGACTCTGCTCATCTGGTGATCCACCCGGTGATGCTGTATACAATATCTGGCTATATCCGATAGATGCGATGGTATTGATCTTCGTTAGCCCATATATTTTGAAATCACCGAAGGTCGCATTGTACATCCACTTGTCCTCATACGGTCTGAACGCCATAATAAGCTTGGACGGAGCGTCCTTCTCAGCACAGTACATACCGCGAGGCCCCTTATAAGCCGC